CTTTTTTTTTTTTTTTTTTTTTAATCATTGAGCCATTAATTTTGGTCCATATAATATTTAGCCCGTATTTGTCATCCATTATTCAATAAAAATGAATTTTGACATAGTGATATTTTTGGACAATGTATAATTAAAAAGTAGAAAAAAATTAGATTTATATACAAAATATTTTATTTTGAATGAGAAAAAATGTTAAAATAGTGGTAGACAAACAGGGACTTCGTTAGGTCTTTGTTGGTTGGTTAATTTCTTTGTTATATAAGCTTTAACTTGCTATCTTTCCCTCTAATTTGAATGATTAACCTTGGCCTTCTTCTTGGTCAAATATTAAGTTTAGGGTTTTCAAAATCAACTGATTTCACCCATGTTTGATTTGGATAAAATTATATTCTTAGTATGTTTTGATATGCCGATGAAATTTAAGGTTGAAAAGTTGATAAAAATTTTGAATCTCATAAAATATGTGATTAAAATTAATTGTAAATTTTGATTTAGATTTCTATCAAACTTTTTGGACTAACCAAATAGGGAATAAATGAGCATTATGGTGCAGTATACAAGATTTGAACCTTTCTAGGGATTCGTTCGACCATCCAACGGAGTCCCATTTCTGCAACCTTTCTAGGGATTCGTTCTAGAAGAGCGTAAGTACTAAATTCATTAGGCATTGGCTATAAGTTCATTTCTTTGTCGAAAGAGGGGAAAAAAATTGTAATATTCGATTCCTTTTACTTTGGTCTTGAAGAAACATCTAGAAAGGTACAGAAATGTTGAGAAAGAAGCGGGCATAGGGCCCAAAATAAAGACAGAAGAGAGTACTTCTAAAGTTTAAGTAGCTTTCTCAGAATGCCCTTTTATTTTTTTAAAAAAAAATAAAGCAAAAATAAAAACAAACACAAAAATCTTACCAAATGTGCTCGAAATACTTCATTTGAAAATACAAATTAATAGAAAAATAATCAATTTATAATTTTATCTTTAAAATATTATCTTACATGTAAGTCGAATTTATTATAAGACAGAGTACATTTTTTAGCTTATTTTTTAAAAAAATAATTCAGGTATTACAGGAAAGTTTTTGCATAGAAGTTTGTGAACAATTGCTCCTAAAGTTAAGGGCATGTCAGCGGCGGACGCAAATGTTTTAAGTTGATGGGGCACAATCGAACTTGAAAAAAATAAAGATTTATGTTTATCTCAAATATCACCAAGTTTGTCATCATTTTTATCTCCAATATCATTTTCATCACTTTTATCTGGTGATCATCAAAATAAAACGTATATTTATGTTTAAATTATTTTTCCATCACAATCAATCCAAGTGAAAAGTACAAAAATCACAACAATTCTCAATGTTACATCATCAATCGCACTCCAGTCCAAACAAAGACAAAAATTACAGCAAGAATCTATTATCATAAAATCGCCAAAACAAGATAGAAATTGGAGAGCTTAAGTGATCCCCAATTTCATTTGATAAGAAAAACAAAAGAAATAATCAAAAAGAAATAATTTACTGAAGAAAAAAGGCATATAACTTTTCATGAATGAATCTTTTACGTTCTTTAAAAAATTAAAACTTCATTCAAAGCTTTTAGATTTTCTGGGCTCGGGTTCCTCTGCTTCATATCTGATTTCTTTAAAATAATAATAATAAATAAATAAAAAATAAAAAATTGGTGGGTCAAGTGACCCACCAGGACCCATTGTGGGTCCGCCAGTGGCATGGCACACATGTCAAAGCTCACATTCACAATTTGCACCATAATGTAGCAACTTGCCTGTTTGGTTCAGGGTTCACGAGCACACTTTTCTATTCATACAAGTGGCTACATTTGGACTCAAGTGACCGAAATAAGTAATTTTTCTTAGATAATTTAAAATTAAGTTTGTCTTACTTTTAAGAATAATCAAACATGTCTCATGAGGATGAATTAAACCCTAAACCATCCTCTAAGAAGTTATATTTTTAGAGAGGAAAATGTGTATGGGACGATTATCAAAATTCCCTCTTATTATTAAATTTACGTAATGTTGGATCGTACCCTTAACGTGTTGGCTCGACTATGAAGACCATTCTTGAAATTTAATTATCTCATTTGAGATTTTAACAATTCAAATTATTAATTTTAACTTTCTTGGCTCTCCTACGAAATTGAGTCTTGAATCATCTTACAAAGACAACCTTAATAGAAGTAACGCATCATGTTACTTAAAGTTATTAATATCATGTCCATGTTTGGTCCCAATTTTTTAAAACTCATTTTTATTTCTTTTAAACTCATTTTCGACTACACTTTTATTGGAACTACAATTTTTATCAACTTTTTATTTACACATTTAATCAATTTTATTTATTATTTATTTTTTTATCAAAATATTGTAAAATCTGATTTTTTATCCTAACCAAACGTGGTTATATCTAAAGAATAATTGTGTTTGCAGTCGCCCTACGTGACATATATGCGACGATTAGTGATTTGATGCATGATGTAATGAAAAATTACCATATTAATGCATTAAATAACTAACTGCAACATATATATATCACGTATGAGAACTACGATAATGAATGATTGCAAATAGCATTACTCATATCTAAATCAAATGAAATTTTACTATACCGTGCATTCATGCACATTTCACGCAGCTTCAAGGTGAAAACTTTTAAAGTGAAAAGCATTGCTTAATCAATGCAATCACTTCAGATTCCAATTTTCTCTCTGAAATTTGTATATAAACCCTCTCTCGGTTGCCTTGATCATACATACTACAAACCATACATTTCCCTTTTCTCTCTAGAAATTCACTAGACCAGTAGACCCGCTTTTTATTTTTCTCGTTATGGCTCCAAGTTTGAGCAAAATTTCTCCAGATTCATTGGGGCCAATTGGTTGTGCAAAACTATCATCAATAACTCATGAAGGTTCCCAATTTCTTGCCAATGGCCATCCTGTTCTCACTCACGTCCCTCCCAACATTATTTCCACACCATCTCCGTTCATTTCCAAAGACTTGACGACCAACGCTGTAGGCTGCTTTGTCGGCTTCGACTCGGACGAGTCGAGAAGCCGACATGTTCTGCCCATTGGGAAGCTCAAGAACACAAGATTCATGAGCATATTTAGGTTCAAAGTTTGGTGGACAACTCATTGGGTTGGCAATAGTGGGAAAGATGTAGAACAAGAAACACAGTTGATGATTCTTGATAAATATGACCATGGAAGGCCTTATGTTTTGCTACTTCCACTCATTGAAGGACCCTTTAGGGCTTCAATCCAAGCTGGCGCGTACGATGATGACGTGGACATTTGTGTGGAAAGTGGGTCTACAAAAGTCTGCGGTTGTACATATAGGAGCTGTATGTATATGCATGTAGGTTTTGATCCGTACAATTTGATCAAAGATGCCAGGCAAGCCATTAGGGTCCACTTGGGTACATTTAAACTTTTGGAGGAAAAGTGCCCTCCGACTATAGTGGACAAATTTGGTTGGTGTACATGGGATGCATTTTACCTTAAGGTAAGATTGTAAAATTAAAGTGTTCTTCCCTCTAGCAAGTTAAATTTTTAGTCGAGATGTCTAACATAATACTAAAGTACTCATCATTGCCTATTTTTGAAAATCGTGCACGCATAAGATATTTAATCAAAAAATGAATATATGTAGCATCTGTTTAGCCCCCACCCCTTTTTTTTTTTTTTTTTTTTTTGCAATCTCATTTCTCCAACTTTGGGCCCCTTAGGTCGAATATAGGGAAAAATTTATGACATCTGATATTCCTCATTTGATTTTTTTTTTGAGTTGCACAATATAATATGCACTACATTCCATTTTTACCCTTGTGTCTACTTTTATAACACATTAATGGGTTGAGGGTAATGGTGTAATTTTCCATTGACCAATAGAGGGTACTTTGGTCCTTCACATTTCAAGAGCTCCATTGAATGAATCTGACAAATGTGTTGACAGTTTACAATTTTTAAATGCGCGTGTTCCTGAAGCAAAATGTGTTATGGTTAATGAATCATTTGATAGGTACACCCACAGGGGGTGCGGGATGGGGTCAAGGCCCTAACAGAGGGGGGATGCCCTCCAGGTTTAGTCCTTATAGACGATGGATGGCAATCAATATCCCATGACGATGATGATCCCAATCAAGAAGGCATGAATAGAACATCAGCTGGTGAACAAATGCCATGCAGGCTAATAAAATTCCAAGAAAATCACAAATTTAGAGACTATAGAAGTCCCAAAATGCCTTTCAATAAGGGCATGGGTGCCTTTGTTAGGGACCTTAAGGAAGAATTCAAAACCATAGAGAGTGTTTATGTATGGCATGCATTATGTGGATATTGGGGTGGGATTAGGCCTAATGTCCCATGTATGCCAGAATCTATGGTTATTAGTCCTAGGTTGTCTGAGGGTTTGCAGATGACAATGGAAGACCTTGCGGTGGACAAAATTGTCAAAAATGGAGTTGGACTCGTCCCACCAGATAAGGTGTACCAGATGTTTGAAGGATTGCACTCTCATTTGGAATCAGTTGGAATTGATGGAGTCAAGGTCGATGTAATACATGTAATCCCTCAAACTCTTGGCCTTTTCAGGAAAGATTATTTGGGTTAAAAATATGAAATTCCACTTTTGTTTCTGAAGTAAATTGAATTATGCTTAGTATCAACATTTTTTTTAATGTGCAGTTGCTGGAGATGCTATCAGAAGATTTCGGGGGCCGAGTCGAGTTATCAAAAGATTATTATAAAGCCTTAACAGCTTCAGTGAGGAAACATTTTAATGGAAATGGTGTTATTGCAAGCATGGAACACTGCAATGACTTCATGTTTCTTGGAACAGAAGCCATAGCTCTTGGACGTGTTGGTATGTATAAAAAAATATTCATGATTTTTATACGACATCCAATCAACTTTACACCTCTAACACTAAATATGGTATCTTGGCACATGCAGGGGACGATTTCTGGTGTACTGATCCCTCGGGCGATCCAAACGGGACCTTTTGGCTACAAGGTTGTCATATGGTACACTGTGCCTATAATAGCTTATGGATGGGAAACTTCATACAACCAGATTGGGACATGTTTCAGTCTACTCATCCATGTGCGGAATTTCATGCTGCCTCAAGAGCCGTTTCTGGAGGGCCAATTTATGTAAGTGACTCAGTTGGAAAACATAATTTTCAATTGCTTAAGAGCCTGGTTTTGCCTGATGGATCCATATTGAGATGCCAACATTATGCTCTCCCAACAAGAGATTGCCTGTTTGAAGATCCAATGCATGATGGCAAAACTATGCTCAAAATCTGGAACCTCAACAAGGTAACCCTTCTTTAATCTAGTCCAATCCAGTGTACCCAAATTTAAATATCTTCAATTTTTTTTTTTTTATGTCATTTGGGGTTGCATTTTCACCAGTTCACAGGAGTTCTTGGAGCATTCAACTGCCAAGGAGGTGGATGGTGCCCTGTGTCCAGGAGAAACAAAAGTACGAGTGAATTTTCAATCAACTTGACTTGTTTGGTAAGTCCAAAAGAAATTGAATGGGGACATGGTAGAAATCCAATTTCCTTAAAAGGAATAGAAATATTTGCTGTTTACAAGTACAAGGAGGGAAAACTTAGGCTCTTGAAGACTTCAGAATACCTCGAAATAGCCCTTGATCCGTTCGACTATGAGCTTTTCGTGGTTTCTCCAGTGAAAGTTTTATCAAGAAAATTGGTGCAATATGCCCCTATTGGATTAGTCAACATGCTTAATTCCGGGGGCGCGATTCAGTCACTTGGGTGTGATCATGTCGAAGGTATAGTTCGAGTTGGTGTTAAGGGCAGTGGAGAAATGAAGATTTTTGCATCTGAGAAACCTCGATCATGCACCATTAATAGATTAACCGTTGATTTTAGTTACAACGATCATGTGGTTGTGGTTCAAGTTCCATGGCCTGATTCATCAGATTTATCAGTAATCGAGTATGTATTCTGAAGTTCAATAGGAACTCAGTCCCATGTTCAAGATTCTTATCTTGAAAATCTTGATATAGGCTAAGAAATGTGAATAATCAAATGGACGCGAAAGAGCTTCCAATAATTAATAATTATGTACTCTCGTTACAACAAAATCAACTAAATATAGAAAAGAAAAAGAAAAAAAGGTACTCTATCTAGAAATTCATGCAGCTGGAGCGTAATCGTAATCAGCATCATCATTGTCATCATCTTCCTCTAAAGAAACTATAGGATCACAGTCGTAATCTCGACTATCAATGCTGCTGCGACCATCAGCGGAACCGTCGCTGCCACCACCGCGAAGCCTCTAGTAGATTGAGCAGCCAATGGTGGTACGCTTGGAATTGAGGGACATTTTTCTTGATGGTGGTGAATTGGCTGGATGGAGATTGTGGGGTTGGCATAGGGCAGGCACGTGGTGAATGTGGTGTTTATGTGCCAGAATCGAAGCAGATCACACTTGGCGCCACCATAGTCCGCCTTGGACCACCCTCTAGAAGACTGGTCATCTTATACAATTGGAATTGCAAGTGGAAAATCCAAATATTATGTGAAAAAAATCACTAATTGGGTAGATGTCTGGGCTGTGTGTGTATAATGTGTGGATGGTGGGGTTTGGGGTAATACTTATGTGCGTTTTGGAACAAAAATCTCAAAAAATTAGCACATGATGCGATTTTATGGACCTGTAGAGCACTGGTGCTATTATTCCTTGACCAATTTTTTAATTCTAATAAAGATGTCTAATTAAAGCTCTTTAGTGAATAATTTTACACGTTAATCATCTCGACTCACAAATCTTGAGATATCAAACGTGTTGTAATATATAAGTCAAGAAAGTAAATGAGCACTTTATCTATCTCCACTGACATCAATCCTAATGAGCACGTTGTTAGAGTTTATAAGTATAGTCAACAATTAATTTTAATGACATATTTTATGTAACGCACAACTTTCAACTAGATATTTCATCTACTTTTATCAATTATATTTTTTTTTTATCTAAATTAAATAGAGACAATCAATCCACCGTCATGTCAGAAAAAACCAAACTCCGTGAACAAGCCCTCGAAAGACTCAATTAGATTTGGTCCAATTTCTTTCTAAACATGCTCTCAAGACATATCTTCATCTCAAAATGAACCACGCTACATTTCGATCGAGATCTCGTGACACGTGTGTCTCCCTCCATCCTTCGAAAAGCTTTAGCTAACTGTTCATAGCAAGAACCTATATAAATGGTTTAAGGTAAAGGCCGATGACATTTTTTTATTCTTTCCTACGATATTCACTCCAAAATTATTCTCTTTATAGTACTAGTCCTCACTCCAGAGGAGAAAATGAGCACTCAAGTCCCTCCCTTCTTGCAAGTATCGAGACAGTGTTGAACCATTGCTAGACGTAAATCTCCGCTGGAAGAAAAACTTGACGGCTTGGAACCATTGAATAAATCTTGGTTGTTAAAAAGAAAAAGACTTGGCCATATTCAAAGAATTTAACCACTGGAAGAAGTGATTTACCCCAACAAAATTCTTCAATTATCGTGATTTCAACTACACGTTCACACAATAAAATATTTCACGACTCAAAACTTTTCCCTGCTATTTAACCATACATCCTTCGAAACTCACGATTAAAAAAGCATTTTTGAACAGGAGCTTAACCGTACAAGGGTAAATATTTTTGGTTACAACTATACTTTCACCTAAATTTCCGATGGTTTATCTGCTGTAATTTTTCCAGGTGGTAGTAAATTCAATAAATAGTTGAAGAGCAATGTCAATTTACAATTTACTTTCATAGATTTTCCGAACCCATATCCAAACTTTGAGTGTGAATTTAATTTCACATGGAAGTAATGATTTTCCAAAGTCATATTCAGGCAGTGAGGTTTTCTCAGAACATGGATATAACCGATTCTCCAGAATCTTCATATTTTGACGAAAATAAAAGAATTCTTTAGAAAATATGCAGTAAAGAGAAAATTCCCAGGCTCTCTTCTCATAGAGTAGCGAGCTCGTAGCATAGTCCGCACTATACTCAGTTTTATTTAATTGAATTACTGATTTCAATCGAAATGGTACTCCATTTTAATTTGATTTCATGTTACATTTATATATTTCTCTGATGCAACATTATCCCCAAATTACACAACATTCACATACAACCAGGAATTATTACTCAGACACAGAACCGACTGGATTGGACAAGCTTAAAGAAGAAGAAGAAAGGTATTCTACTATTCTAAGGTCTCATTACATCTTGAGTCTTCCGGCCGGTTTCCCTTGCCTTGTGTCCAAGGTGTCCTGCCGTCTCTTGAACGTGCCGCTTCGCCTGATCCAATTGCTCCGGCATACTTCCACTCATTCGTCTCGTGTAGTTGATGAGCCAAGAGAGAGAAGAAAGTGCAGTTATCCCAAAGGCTCCTGATGTCAAGAACCCAACCACCGCCAAGCAGATAGTGAGTACAGCCGGGACCAAAACTGGGCTGAAAACCACGAACAGTGGTGTCGTGAGAGCAAGCCCGATAAGGGAGCCGGCGAGAGTCAGCCCAGCAAGGCAAAGGAGGACGCCGCCTACTGGTAAAAGAGTAACCACCGCCAAGACTTGTGAGGTTGAAGGACGACCCAGATTCTTCTCTGCCTGGTGGTGCTGCTGGTAATCCGCCATTCACACGGTGGTTAAATGAGATGAGCTAGCTAGATTTGTGTGCATAAGAGAATTGATTGTAGAGAGCGGAGCGGTGGAGTGTATATAAAGAGAGAAGAATGGCGACGCGTGGAATGAGTGAAGACAGGTGTTTGTGTATAGTGTTTGCATGGAGATATGACTCAAGTTGTTGAAATTATTTTTTCTTGCTTTCCCAAGGTTAGTTTTGTCTTTTTCTCCATCCAAAAATTTCAAAAGCATATAGAGAACAAGCAAGGCAGAGTTTGGGCCAAGACAAACTGGAGTCTGAAGAGCAAATTCGGACCAACAAGGAGCTCTGGAGCAGGTCTAAAAATCATGCCAAAACCAACTTAAAGGGCTGCTCTCTGAGAAAAATGAAATTTTCTAATTTCAGGACAAAAGTTTAGGTAGCGGTTGATTTGCATTTTTATTTTCCATTTTCATTTTCGAAACGATTTTTAGTTTTCCCCGAAAATGGACCGTTTTCCGCGTTTTGAGCGTTTTGACAATTTATAATTTAAAACGCTCAAAATGATAAAAAGTTCTTTTGCGTTTTCAATTATAAATTTTAACTCGTTTTCGAAAACGAAAAACGGAAAATGACCCGAAAACAGCAAACCAACCGCACCCTTATTATTTTAGGCTCAAATGGACAAATCAAGAACTTGGTTGAGTTCACTTGTAAAAACGGGCTTAGGACATCAGGCAGAAGTCCTAATTAAAAGTGTTCTAAAACACAAGATGGGCAAATTAGCAATTGACAGGATAGCAAATTAAAACCAACAAAATATTTAAGGAAATGATGGTGACACTAGGAACCTCTATCTACTTTGATATCACGTTGAATTCACCTCCACTAAAAGTTAAGCTTTTAAACAAGGTGAAATGTCTACACCCATTTCATGAACAACTTTCTCGAATTTCATTGACATATCTGACGATATCATAATATTTCAAGGTACTAAAATCGGCTCATCTATCCCAAAAAACACACGAATTGCTTCATAAACATTGCCTATCATAGAATAAGCGTTGACAAGTGCACTATTGCAAATAAATTCCATTCTTAAACCAAAACAATCACTTTCCTATGAACTGTCCTCAAAATCGTCTATATTCCTCCCTTCAGAACATGCACGCAAAACGCAAACAAATGTGAAGTTGTCAAGCTATGTTTCTCAAGTCAGCGTGTGCTTATAACAGCATAAATGCATAAGAAAATCGGTGGGCCTGTGCAAAAGCTCGAATTCTGGAGTTCCACAGATAAATGTTCCGTTGAGGTGCATAAAATGGGTCACGAGAAAGGTCGTTTTGGATAACGAGTGAGTCAAGATCTTGGTACTTGGAACAGTTATTTGATAATCCTGTTTTACACGGAAATTAGGGGAACCTTTTTGATACATTGAAATGTACAATACTAAGGAGTGTCAAAATAGAAAAAGAAATTAAATTTTTTAACCATTTTACTATAAAATGTTGCCAAGTACTGCGCACCAAAAACATGCTGCCAATGTGATTTTCAAGGGGACTAATAACCACAAACTAAATTTAGTATTATACATAATTTTTTTTTAACCACAATTTAGTACACCAGTGATGACAGCATGCAATAGTAACTCTGTCTGTCTTCATCTCCGGAAAAACTTGGACAAGAAGTAAACAATGAAGAAACACAAAAGCGCAAAAAGAACCACATGCATTACATGGTTTGATCCTTCTCTGATGATGCTTTTGTTGAGTCTCCTCATGTTGTTTTTGACCCCTGCCTGAGCTTTGATCATTGTCATTTGCTGTACAGGCAAAATAATCAAGGAGAGAGCATTTTATTAATGACCAAACAATCCAAAACTATTTTACATCTAATATTACATGAGTCAAGGATGATAATACAATAAAACAATAGCAAATAATATCAACCAGCAAAAGAAATCAGATACTGATAAATGAGATCCTTGAATAGAAAAAATGTTATTTCCATTAGAATTTTTCTAGATGTACATTGTTGTCTATATTAAGGAGGTCATTCCCCCCGTGTCAAAATCTGGCCAATGATGTGAAATGTGTTCGGAAAATCAAAGGTATGATGGGTGCTGTGTGGATGTCAAAGTTAATGTAAACAACAATGTACATTTAGCATGTTACTTTCCATTATATGACTTCTTCCTGTTATCATATCAATGTACATTGGTTCTAGCCCATCAAACTATGGAACTTCTATTTGTCAAATGACAACCCTTTAGTTGCATTTCCTAGGCATAAATGTATTTGATAAGTAAAGTTTATGAAACGGGGTGCTGAAAGGACATAACCCTTACACTTTGGAAAATTATCAGCAACAAGAACAAGTCAAGTATGGGGAAAAAAAAATTCCTCTTCCAAGAAAATAAAGAGTGTCATCACATATAAAAAACAATTTTTATAAATAAATCCAAAACAAGCTCAAAGTATTCCCCAGGTAACATTTTGCATTTTTCCCCCTCTTCAAGGAATTTCATGCGATTTTATAAATAAATCCAAAACAAGCTCATAGTAATCCCCAGGTCGCATTTTGCATTTTCCCTCCGCAAGGAATTTCATACTGCACCATCTAGTCCATTATAATTCGTTGGATTCATTTTGTTTTTGACTTGATTCAGCCCTTCATTCATCTAGTTTTTAATCTGTTGTAAGAAGTGCATTTTTTATGGAAAAGGTTCACCAAGTTGATTATGGGAACAGGAGTCATCAAGTATAGCATTAACACACTATATTACCACTTGAAAACCAATATGATCATTCATTCTTTTTACCTAAATGTCTTGACAAGTTGGATCAAATTCTTTCCAAAATGGAAAGGAAAAAAATCTTGTGAATAGTAGCAGTTAGAAATTATTTCTACATAAAATATCAAGTACAAATGGTTGATAATGATAATATTGCTACCACGCAATCCACAAAAAAATCCAGCAATCAGACGAAGCAAAAGTTCAATTCAAACTCAGGGAGTGCGCAGTGGATAAAATACCAGCTGATTAAGGAAATCATTCTGGAACTTTGCTTCTGACTCAATCTCTTGAGCTACCTGCAATATTGTTTGTGTTAACAAGAATCCAGAAAGATAGACAAAATTTAATATGGTGTCGAAAATACCACATGAACTCACTGTGCTCATGTGTTAGCAACAAGTTGCATATTGAGTAAAAGCTAAGTGTTCCCAAATAATGGAGCGAAAAAGAAACTCTAGTAAGCAATACATTCATATAAATGTTTAAAAAATCCTCAAAATAAGCAACCCAATCATTTAATATTAAACAATCCACAAAATAAGAAACCTAATCATATAGTAGCAATGTCAATAGTAGCAATGTCAGTAGTAACAATATCGATAAGGTGGAAACCAAGTAAAAAAATTAACTTCTAGAAGAGCAGCAACCAATATTTTCATCAGATTTACCAAATGGGCAGGGTAAATCACAATAACACAGGTAGGCAGCATCTAATGGACTTAACTGTGAATAAGCTGGGAAAGAAGATAACTTAGTTACCTAACCTCACTTTACCATTAATTTTCCCTTGACCCTCATTATTTCTTCCAAATTCGTAACTTAAAATTAAAGAAATTCAAAGCCCACAAGATCTTGCATCAAATTTCTAGAACAATGCATTTATCCCATACGTGAGCAAAGAACAAATTTTGATCACTCAAGAACTGGAATCCCATTCTCCTTATAACATTCTTCTTTAACCAAACACCCACTCCCCTTTCTTGGTTTCAAGCAAGATGCATCTACTAAAACTGTTTTCATAATAAAAATAACACAATGCATCATAAAATCAGAGATCCAGAATAATGGCAAGAACAATATGCTATGTGGTCCATTCTGTTTAGAGGGAAGGACACACATAAATTCCAGAAATGACGTAGAAGGTATTATCTTTGTATTTGATCTAAAATTTTGGGAATAAGGCTTGGACCAACAAATTTATTTCATTTTGCCAAATTTATAATGAATTGTTCTTTGAGAAATACATGCGATCATGCGATATCATACACCGCAAAATCTATCTCAGAAGCTTCACGTGTATTAAACACTATAAGATGAACACTGTCATAAACCCTAATTGCAGAGAATTTCCCAATTATAGAGATTTTTTTAACATCAACTCTCAATTTTAACAGAGTTAATACACATTCACATAGGCATATATTTATGACTTTATCCCACGCAGTTAGGCAAATACACTCTCGAACATGCGTATATATTGATAATTCGAAACATACATACACACGTATAGATATTTCAAGCACTTAAAAAACACCTTACGTCTCTGAGTTGTCGAACTTGCTTGCGAAGACCGGTGACCTCCTCATCGAAGTCGGCATGAATCGGATCAATTCGCAACTGAATTTCATCAGAATTACCACCCACTGCCGCTGGCCTCGTGCTTAATCCTTGTCTGTTTCAATTATTAACATTAAAAAGGAATAATAATAATAATAATAATTCTTAAATCGATAAAATTAATTTCATGAAATACCTCGATCTGTACGAAGCAGCCATCGATTGAGCCCGAAATTATGAAATTGTGAAAAATAAGGAGAAGATTTGCGTAAATTAAGAACGGCAGAATAGGGGTTTACAAAGGGTTGTTAAACGGTTGGGGTTATTTTTGAATTTCCCTTTTTCTTGGGCAAATGTATAAGTGAGGGCTATAAGCATTTGCAATCCCCCAACCTTTCATATTTTTTCAGTTTTGCCATTAAAATTAGGGCTGGACATGATCCGATTCGGTTCAGTTCTAACTAGACCCGAATCGATCCAAAACTTTCGGATATTTAGTAAGTGAAACCGTTGGATCCAAATTTAATTATGGAACCGTTCGGATCCAGTTCAGTTCCATTCGGTTCTGTATTATAATTAATTTTTTTAATATATACAAAGTTATGTTAATTTAATTAATGATATATTCAATATTAGCTCTTACAAAATAACGTAGTTCAATATTATGTGTTTCACGTCTCTCTTTGCTAAATTCTACATAAATTTGATTATTAAAATCATAGAAAGAGAAAGATAGCGAGTTCAAAATAATTAAGAGAGATATTGTAGAGCTTTAATTTGACTTTCTCCGATAGAGTAAAATAACAGATTTGGATCAAATTGAGGTCAATTTGATTAAGTTGATTTTGAACTGAAAATTAGAAATAGGAAAATCATATTTTGTGATTTGAACTAAATTCACTAGTTAACAAATTTATTTAGAAAAAATAAAATAATTTTACTTATTTAAAATAAATTAATTAAAAAAATTACGGAGTTTCGGTTCTTCGGGTCTTAGCCTAGAACCGAAAATCGAATCATACCCATCGGTTCTTGATTCAAATACCCGTTCGGGTATTTAGTTTGAGAAAAACCGTCGGGTTCGGTTCGGTTCAGGAGTTTTGTCCAGTCCTAATTAAAATTACTTTATTCCTTGTTTGAGTCTCATTCTTGTCGAAAAAATACATTTTTAATTAATGTATTGATCTGAAATTTGTGGTTAAAAAATAAAAAAAATTAAGTTTGTTTGTAATATTATTTTATTAAAGAATGTGATTGAAGTATGATCAAATCACTGATAAAAAATTTATTTTGATAGAAAAAAATGGACTCAAACAAGGCTTAATGTTACAAATGAATCAATGTACTTTGAATGCCCTTTCCCGTCTAGCAAAAGCCGTAGTTGACTTGTATTAAAGAATAATAAATCTACTGTGAAACTTGAGTTGCTTTACTTTGAGATTGAGTGTTCTCTAATTTATATTAATTTAGAATGCTTGAAAAGAATTGTTTGTACATTATTTTTTTTTTTTTATCTAACACGGCTAAGATGCAGCTTCTTGAATAAGTAGTGCTTGCTTTTTCCCTTTTTTTATTTTATTTTATTTAGGTCCTTTATCAATTTAAAACATAACTTACCTAACGTTACTCCTTTTGATTTTGATCAATTTAAACAATAAAAATGTCACGTTCACAGAATTTCGTTATCAAATTATCATTTCCATCAACAACGATACAATTTCTATTAATTTAACAAGGTTTCACACATTTCGTGGAACTTACGAATAATTTTCAGTTATTCATCACTCTTTTTGTCTAAATTATAATTTCGACCCATCTTCAAGTTAGATTATCCCATGTTTCATAGATTAGTAGCCCATTCTTTCAAAATTTGATGAAGGGCCAATTTCCAGCCTTGGTTCCGTTAAACCTAACATCTCTTTGAAGACAAAAAACAGCCAACCCACTAAACCATAAATGATTTGATTGTCAAAAATATTATCACCTAAATAGCATTACAGTTTGATTTTGGATATGTTTATTATAAGGTGGGTTCCATGAAAAACCTAATCTATGTCACGATGTAATTATAATAGTTTATTAAATTGACCAAACTAATCTATATTGAATTGAAATAAGTCTCTAGTGATTTTGTTCAAAAGAAACTCCAATGTTCTTTGAGATATTAGTATTTGATATTTCTAAACCATTGAGTTTGTAGTTAATTCACTCAAGAGGATTGCAATCAATATCGATTCGAACGTTTGTTGTATCTTGAAATTTGTTGACCTCCAAAAACATGTCAACGGGTGTCGTTTTAAAATAATGCACAGATGGACGAATTCCTCAAGATGTTGATTGTAAACTTAAACAAATGTTCAGTTATTGATCAACTATATTCAGCAATAGAATCTTAGCCAATATTCATTCTTTTTTTTACTATTGAATGTCACGTGTGTGTGCGCAGTGTTTTCCCGTGGCCCTTTCATGTGGTCAGTAACAAAATACTTTCATCTTAAAGAGAACTCAAGTTTTTTTAATAATTATTCTATTATATTCTATTGTTTTGATTGTCAATTCTGAGAAATTTGGCGGAAGGAGTTGCCTAACACCGGTGGATCCACCAAAAATGCACAAAGGACATATTTAGGTCTAACCATATGAAACGAGTATATGACTAACAGTGTGGGCCATATAAAAACACGCCGCAGAATCGCCCAATCAAAACTCAGTCGATTTTATGGCCCACCACGTGGCAAACCCTTATTAACGGCCCAACTCATGATGCCACCAATCCCCTGCTTGATTCGGCCACGACACCCCACTCATCCTTTCCGCTAAAGAAATTCGAAATCAAAAGGCCATGTTTGGTATATGAGCAAGTAAAAAATGACGTGGAAAAAAAAATGTTTTTGGCTCCCCTCCATATTTCTATTATGGAGTGCATTTGATTGACTTTATTTTTCATAGAAAATGTCATTTTTCACCCAAATTCTTACTTTTGGCATGCTTGATTGACAATTTTTTCCATAAAAAATATTTTTCAAATTTTGGTCACGTGACCATATTTTTCTCAAAAACAAAGAAAATATTTTCTTTAGGAATAGATATCTATCCACATTTTTTCATCTATCCATCAATAAAAAGTAAACAAGTATAATACTTTCAAAGTTGAAAACTGAATCAATCAAACACATTTTATTACTAATTTTCCATATAAACTAGTTCTAGACGATTGAATAGTCTAGAATTTATTTTCTTTCATGCAAATTTCATGCTTACAATGTTATATTTTCATAGAAAATGTCATTTTCACCCAAATTCCTACTTTTTGGATGTTTGATTGCCAATTTTTTCAAAGAAAATTGTTCCCAACTTTTGGTTATGTGACTATATTTTCTTCAAAAATAAGGAATCATTTCCTTTAGGGAGAGCCAGAGAGGTGATTTTTATTTTCTAAGTAATTCACTCTCTCATCTACCTATCAATAAAAAATGGATAAATGTAATATTTTATATGTTGAAAACTAAATTAATCAAACAGATTTAATTAATAATTTTTCATACAAATAAATTCTAGACATTTTTTATACAAATTTTATGCTTACAATCAAACGCACCCTTAATGTTCACGTTAAAATCTCTACAATCTCATTTGCTTATGCATTACGTGCACAGTTTGACATCATTAACTTCCAAAAAATTAGCCGTTCTTAAAAATGGGGTTTGACGTTTGTTTGCACTTCCACAAGTTAGTGAAAAAAACTAAATGGACATATTTTTGTTTAGGATTTCATTTTTGAAATATTTTCTTGAAGTTTTTATA